GATTACTACAGATTTTCAAAATAAAGTTTTAACCAAATAATATGAACAGCTTGGATTACACCACTTGAGAATTATATGAACAGTAAACAATGCCAAGCATATCAATAAAAAGGAAACAACATTTGCAATGTACATACGGAAATAAATGTGTGTGGGGCTCTACAATCAAATACAGTTCTTAGATTTAAAGATTGGTTAAATAGGTTCTAGTAGAACTATAACAGGTCTTCAGAAAAAAAATGATATATCTGCTAATGGGAACCAAGTGAGAGGAAAAACAGAGATGGACATAATTTACATTACCTATAAATTTATGCCACTACATATTTGATTTTTTTCTATTTTTAAGAGTCAGTTACAGCATGGAATATGCGTATTCTTCAATGAAAAGCCCAACCTCATCTAAAAAAGTAGGCCTGAGCTTGACCAGCCAGACCTTAAGTGGTTCCTCCATAGATCCACCAAAGGACTCTCCTGCACAGTGGATGTGATCAAATTCAACTTCCTGTTCTGTCCCTGGGTCATGAAGACTCCTACTAACTGTATTAATTAGAGCCAGCAATAGTAGTATTTTTTTTATGTTGTCACCTGCTCCCTAGATCTGGGGACAATCCAACCAAAATTACTTCATACAAATCACTGAGCAACTGTCAGATGACAGAAAAATAAAATCACCACCAACTTACATAAAAAATGTTCATGATCAAGAGGGAAAAGAAGCAGTGGTGACCAGCTCAAATAAGCTCATATCAGAGAACACAATCAGTACCGCCTCTACTGACTCAAAGAAGGGCACAAATGAAACGAGAACAGCTGTTTTGTGATAAGAGCAGTGAGTGAAATAGATTGATGACATCCTAAGCATTCTACATACTAATACTAAGGTGTGACTATACCAAATCAAAGCATTCACTTGGTGAACTCCAGGCATAAGACAGGTGGATTTAGTATTCATTTGGCTTGTAAATTAACAGGAAAATTGATGCAATTTCCAATTAGGCATGCTTATAGAAATAAAAAACTTAATTATATAATAAAATGTATATACTAGAAGTTTAATTATTAAAAAAATATATTCATTCCACCACTTTCTACTTAGTTCTTCAAAGAAGAAATGAAATAAATGCTACACAAAAGATAAACATCAGTTTCTGTTAACAAATATCATAACTTCACACACTGTTCTCATTTGTAACAAGGTCAAATTGCAACAGATGAAGAAGACTTCCTATAAAATGGAATAGACAAAGTCAATGACCTGTGTGTCAGAACTATTTACTCTCATAGCTCTCAATCTCACTAAGAACATCTATGCTAGTTATTCAAGAGAAGGCTTTTTGCTGTTAGATGCCAAATGAGAATCAGTTGGCAAAATTCTTAACCCCAACACTGACATGGTCTTGTTGTCCTTTAAGATCAGCAAGTCCAACCTAACCTACGGAGTTCTTTCATTAAAGCATGCCCTTTTCTGCCATGTCCACTAGTCCCTTAAATATCTCCTGAATACAGTCTCCCACATCTTCTCATGCTTGAGCGCTCTCTCTGTTACTGAATTTTTCCTAATATCCTATCTAACCTTTCCCAGCACAATTTGAGAACATATTTTTATACTGATTGTCTTTTCTAATAAAGTTTTGGCTTTGATTTTAGCTATTTATAAAGCATTTTATGACTCCATTAGAAAAACATCCTTCTGTAAAGAATGAATAAATATGAAATGAAATAAATATTATCTTTCAAAAAGTTAATATGCAAGACATTTCAAAATAAGAAACAAAAAACCTCAAAAGAAAACCATTTTAATGGGTATATTTTATTAGGTCTTGTTGAGTAGCATACTTGGATGTATTATACTTATGTCTTTTCTTTTTTATTTTCCTGAGGTCTGAATGGAAGAGATTTTTTGTTACACCCGATACTAAGTTGGAGAGGGCAGAGTAGCTGTGCATTGTTATTCTTACTGCATATTGGCTTCAAGGAGACAAATCTTTGCTTTTTTTTTTTCAGAATGATCTTTTTTTGTCATTTCATATTGTTAGCAGAGGAGCTACATGCTGTCTTGAAGAAATTTCTTGCATTTCTTTTGTTCCCTCTCACTCATTCTCTCCTGCGTATCAAAGGTCACAGGCTCATAACATTTTTGGACATTTGATGGACTCCATCAAAAATCTTTCTTGTTATTATTCTGATATAAAATTAATCTTTTTTTTTATTCAGGTGGAAGAGGGTGTTTCTTACAGATATACCAGATTAAATCAATGGTGAAAATAGGTTAAGGAGGATATTTTTGGAGATTTATTAAATACAAGATGATTCATATGACAATTTCTTTAAATTTTCTGTAAAAATCTTCCTGGAGATTTGGCTTAAGATAAATATCATTTTGACTTTTTAAAATGGTAGTTTAGAGTCTGTAGGGTGAATATAGAGCTTCAGGTGATGATAAGAGATTTGGGATTTCTCAAGTATTAAATTTAAATTAAACAGGTTGTAAATAAGAATGATTAGTTTATTTGAGTAAATTCTGAAATAGAATCTTAGCTGATGCATCTTTCATGAAATTGCTAAAAGCTTAAAGAGAACTGATGACTGATATTGCTGAAGAACTCTAGATTATACTCTCTAAACTGACTGAAAATGGCCGTAGAAAGATGTCCTGCCAACGTACAGAAATAGGACAGCGTACATGGATCATGTCAGCATGGAAGCAGACAGTCTAGAGCAGTTTTTGACCACATTCAAGAGCAGACAGGAATATACAGCTCCTTTTTCTGAAGATGTGTTACCATAACTGAGGGGTTCTTTGCTCAACACCTCTTGCATCTTGGGCACAAATTAACATTCATACACAGCAGCACAGGCTCATATCCCACCCCCTTAGAGCAGAGGTCTATCTGTGCACATCCCAAATAGATGGGTCCTTAGAAACTTGCAGGCACAGTTCAAAATGCTTGAAAATATTTTCAAGGTTATGCCAGGAAACAAGAGGATTTATGTGCCAAGAAAAATCTAAAGCTCTACAAACAGGGAAGGACAGCCAAGCTGGTCTCATTTTGTGAGCCAATTCAAAGCTTCACCTTCTGACCCAGGTGTAAACTAGTTCTCGGTCCACCTCAGAATTCAGACACAGCATGCAGATAATTTGTTTTGGACTCTATAGCTGGAAAGCTATGGCATTTTGGATTAGGTATTTACATTGTAGGTTTACTTTACAATTTTATTCATAAAAGCCCTGCAGTTCAAATAACTGGTTACTGAATAGCTTGCAAGGATAATTTTAAATTGTTCGTGGGGTTTTTCTGTGTTCTTGCTTTAAAAAAAAAAAAAAAAAAAAAAAAAGTTTGACGTTTAGACATGATTTTCAGTAATGTATTGGTTTATATTGCTAGAAATTCCAACTGCTCACACTACCAAAAGCACATATTTGGAAATAATTGGAGGTTTTAAATAATATTATCTTCAATTTTTTTTCTTTTTTTTTTTGCTTTTGATTGCCCACACAAGTTGTACTTGTAAGCTGGAAAGATCCAAAGGCACTTCTATATGCTCCCTGTTGTCAAGCACTGGGAAAGGGGAAAAGGGAAGACATAGTCACACAAATTATAACTTTATTTCAAAAACCACTATGCTTTTATCTGATACCTTAAATGAGTTTTTTCTTTAACCAGATCCATTTTATCTGAATCTGATGAAAACCTGGGGTTTGCAATTTCTTTGAAACTTGCCCAGAACTAATGTGTGATCTAGGTAAGTTCAGATGCTCCTTGCCTTGGGCCATACGAGATGTTCATTGTCACAGGGTTCTCATGCACATCCTAATACAGACGACGCATAGTCCTCCACAGTACCAACAAATTTGAAACAACCTCAGACATTTCATCAGTTTCCTTTGTATTCTGCTGGTATTGTCCCTCTCTGACATTGTCCCTACATATTTTTATATATACCAATAGCCAAAGTTACTTATAATCACAAAAATCTAACTATTCTTGCCTTGTCACTCTTATCCTCTGACTGAGGTGTATAATTTTTCGTGTGGCCTTAATAGCAGTAAAGATGGAGCCATATTCATGTGTGCAAAAACAATCTCAGAATATATGTTTAATCATGCTGAAGATAAGGATGAGGGCAGTGAGTTGGGACAAGATAGGAGCTCTTTCTTCATAAAGATTTCTTTCTAAAAAAAAAGCTCAGCCTAATATAATTACTATTGTTTGCGAAGAAAAAGAGACTATTGGTAACAGCACATTCTGTGTAACTCTACATAAACTCACTAGTTATAGCTTATATGATGGACTATAAAACACAGATTAAAACATTCCTCTCTGCCCAGGAAGAGCTGGATGGAGGAAATCATCTCTCTTTCAAGCGGTACTACCCTATCACAGATCTGCACTCCTCTATGTTTGAATCTGCTCCAGTTTTCTGAGACTCTGTTGCTCCGCATGGCTATGATTTCCATCCTAGATCATCTGCCAATACGTATAAAGTCAGCCTTCAGCTCATGAGAAATCACTGAGACAGGAAAAACGTGTTTACCCATAGTGGCTCATCGCCTTCTCCAGCACTATGCTGTTTAGAGAGATGGTTCAGTTTAGCCAAATCTCTCATGAGTAAATCTCAAAGCTAGCTAAGAAAATGGAGGAGAAAACAAAATTCAGTGCTACAGTCAGATTTTAATAGGAGTTGAACTCTTGAATGACTGAGCTTCTTCTGCAAGAGGACAAACTAGTTTGTAAAGTAATTGCCACATGATCAAAATAAATTAACAAATAAACGAAGCTAGTAATTAGTAATCTGACCAGGTGTCTGCCAATATTTCAGCAAGTGTTACAGAACTTAGCTTACACTGTTTAAACAGACCACTGTCATTAATGTTTCTACAGAGACTGAGAAGAAATCTAACCAATGTTTAATCATGACTTATAAAGAAAAACAGATGAGATTAAAAATAAGAATCAAAGTATGTTTTTCGAGAAACATCTCATATGTAGTGAGGAATTAATTAGAAAGGGGTTCTTGGTATTTTACCTTAGACATCACATAAGAGGGTATGCACATTTGTATACCTGAATTGCTGACCACAGACGGGCCATTATAATCATTTGCATTGACACAAAACTTTGACTTTATAGATATCAGAGTTTGATGTGTTGGTTTTGTGTTAGTGATCAGTACTCCTCCAGAGATTATAGCCACCCTACAGGGACTTCTTTATAACAGATCAATAAAAGAAACATTAGAGATTTTATAGTAATGTAGTAAGTCAAATATCAAATGGTTTAGCAGAGACACTCCAAAAGATAAAAAGTTCTCAATAAGTGTTTTGTGGGAACTCATTTCATGGAAAATCTATAGCATTTACCCTGTAGTATATTCAGCTACCACATAAGGCTAACTGTCTGAAGGTTGCATGATTGTCTAGTTGTGTTCCTTGCAGTGTCACAAAAGTAGAAGATTTCTACTTGAAATGGAAATCTGCAGATCACTGTTCATCTGAATTTTTCAGATGCTGTTTCATGCATATCTAACATCTCTCTGAACTTCATGTCTTGCTCAGGAGTGTAGAAAGAAGCACAGATACCTTCATAGCTGTGTGACTCCACAAATACTGTAACTGCATTTAGTCCAGGTTATCCCAGCTACCACAGGGAAGATTCAGTGATCTGAAATAAAGTCATACTATCCATTAACCCTGTATTTAAATACATTTCAGCATTCCAAATTGAACTGAGATGTCGTAATTCAGATCATAAAATTAATTAAGAAGAAATATGAAAAGAACAGTAAAAGTAGGAAGGGAAACAGCGACATATGGATTTTTCAGTTCCTTGTCCAACAATTTTTATAGAAGTTATAAATCTCTTTCTTTTTTTCCTATGCTGCAGTGTGGTTTATCTGTGAGAGCTGATCCATAAGTAATGCCTCCTATTTTTTTATGTTGGTCCATGGTATCTGAGGCAGATGGTAGTGGCATGGCAGTAGATGTTGAACCTTTACATCAATATCTCATTACATTTTATTGCCATGTGAAAAAGAAGCAGAGGGGCAACCTGACAGAATATAGGCTGACATGGAAGTGCAAATGAAGTAAAGGCCTGTCATTGAATTCTTCCATGCAGAAAAAATGACACAGTGACATTCATAGACACTTGCTGAACACTTATACAGAACAAATAGTGGGTGTGGGCATCTCCACAGGTGAAGATTTTCACAAGCCTCTCCTCTCCTCTCCTCTCCTCTCCTCTCCTCTCCTCTCCTCTCCTCTCTTTTCTTTCCTGCCTTTTCTAGCCTGGTTTCATATTGTGTAGGGAAAGGTATCCACCAAATTTTCCTCCCCGTTTGCATGGATGTTCCATGCTTGCTATCCATTGACCCAAAATGAGCAGCAAAAACAAACATGCAAAAAAAACAACAAAAAAAAAACCTTCCAGGAATACAGTACTGGAGTTCATATTAAACCTCATGCTACTTAATAATATAGTAATAAGTCTATCTTTAATACCTGAATATTACCAATAGTCTTCTTCAGAGATCTAGAGGGATTACTTAGATGGCTATGTAATTTCTGTACTTAGCAGAACTATTGTTAAGTAAAACATCAGCTACTGCTCTCTCTATTAAAGACAAAACATTATGCAACTCTTCATATCAAAAGATACAGTCTGATTTGTCTTATGAGTCATGACTCACGTAGCTTGCTTTCTCTTAAGCAATAATTTGATCTCCAAGCGTGAGGAAGTTTTTGTATTTCAGTCAGTAAACAATTGCTCTTAAAAAACATTCCAACTGTTTATTTGTACAATCTGTCCTTCAGCAGATCCTTAGTAGGATGAATAAAAGATGTAACTATAATGGCAAAGTGTCTAAAAACTGACAAAACATTACATTTGATCATGTATGATGAGTGAACTAAGGAAGTACATAGTTTTGAAAGCTGATACAGCATCTAATTGAAATGTCTGTCTTTAACATTATTTCTTTCTAGCTAACTGGTTGCTATCACTGCAGTGAAAATTTTCTTCCTTAAATTATAGGGATCAGATTTCCAATAAAAACATGAGTAAAGCATAATTTGAATGAAGGAAAAATAAAACACTTTGTTCAGTCTTAAGAGTGGTTACATCTTTCCCTTGGGATGAATGCTATGCTATTATTTTTTTTCCTAAAAGATATCAAAAATAAAATCAATATCAGTGCTGAGGCCTTGATTGGTGGGCTGACCAAGTGGACACTTTTAGAGTAGCAAACAAGATATTATTTCTTGCTTAGGATAACTTGGTTGTGATTAAGAAGGCTGTTAAAAAACAAACAAACAAACAAAGAAAAAAACCTTGAAATATTACACAAAGATTATACTATAACGGAGAAAAAATTAAAAAAAAATAAAAAAAAAACAGATTGCAGGTTTATAACCTTTAAAGCTAAGAACTGTAGCAACAACTTTGGATATCCATTCATTAGAAAAGAAAAATAAATTTCCAGATAGTGGATAGAGCAATGCAATTTTGACAGGTCTCTAAATCGCCAGCTAGATTCTGAAACACTGTAGCAAATATTTTATCTTTTTAATAAATAAATAAGTGAATGAAAGATTGAATGAATGAATGGATAGAATGGTTTTTCAGGACCTTTAATTTCCTTGGATCAGGCTGTGCTTGCAGACCTTTATGCTACAGGGTGCCCTTAAGCCAGTCACAGGACCAGAGTCAAGCGTCTTCTGTCAGCTGAGGAAGACAGGCATACAACCTGCAACAAAACATGTTCTAATCCAGTGCAGAACTTTAGTACTTAAAAATAAATAAATAAACCTATTTAGAAAAAGTTCGTGACATAGACTATTCAAATACATCTAGCTCAAATATAAAGTAACTGCATAAATAAGTAATTGAGGAAGAAATACGTTGCCAATCAAATCTAAATTGCTGCTTGAAATCTAGATCCGGTGTCTAAAATGTTTATTTGAGGCTTTGACTTCTAATCTACAGCCAATGTGAAGTGGATTCCTGGTGCCTGGCCAGTTTCTAATGGACAGGTGGCAACTACCCAAGAAAAGAAGGTAACCACAATTGGCACCCTGGTGAGGAGTCATAGCAGTGGTACAAAGACTGAATCAGTTGAAAGAAAAAGTGATCTCCTCACCCCCTCCAGACAGTTCAACTAAAGCTGTCCAGAAACAAATAGGCAAAGCATTGTGGAAGAAGACTGTATTATGATTGTCCTGCCTTCCTTCCTGTTTGTGAGTAAAACAGGAGACTTGCTTTTCCAAGGCTTTCAATCTCATACCTTTCATGATTTGAGAAATGTTTCTCCGTCCCCCCTTACCACGTTTCCCTGCTGAGACAGTGACTGTTGCCAGTCACATGCTCCACCTCTAGATCAAAACCAGGTGGTACAACAAACTGTATTTAAACTTTGACCCTCAGTTCCACTCTGTTGAACAGCTTTTACTTGATATAAAAACAAGGGGGGAAAAAAAAAAAAAGAGAAGAAAAGGAGGGGGAAAATTTTAGGGGAGAGGGTGTCGCTGGTAGCAAATGTTCTTCACTTGCCAGATAACTCATTACTGTACCCCAAATTCAGATATTTCTGTAGTGTGAACCTCCTCCCAGAACACTGGTTGTAAAAGGAGATTGAATTTGTCATTCAGATTCCAATATTGAATTTTCTTTCTTCTTTCCTTTTTGAACAACAACCAAAAAAAATTAAAAACAAAACCCAAAACAAAACAAAACAAACAAAACAAAACAAAAAACCATAAAGAACAAGGTAAAAAGAAATTGATAAATCTGTCTAGCTACTATGAAGAAACAAAATGACTGCTGTGCAGTGTCACAGTTAGCAGTGCCTCAGATACAACTGAAACAGCACTGAAAAATATCCAAACAGGAACCTTTAATGTCTGACTTCATAGGTCACACACCCCATGCTATGTGTTCTTTCTGTGAATCTCTCAGCTAAGTACTTCCAGCTAGAGTAGTTCAAATACAGAGAATCGGAAAAATCAACAAAAACTAAACAATAAGATATTTGGAGGTCAGGTTTTGGTTTGGGATTTTTTTCGGGGGGGTTGTTTTTGTTTGTTTGTTCGTTTGTTTGTTTGTTTTGTTGGGTTACAGGATTTGATCATTTGACTTTTTTTAAGAACATAGAACCACAGAAAACTGTTTCAAGGTGACTGAAATGTTCAGAAACAAGTAAGAGCTCTGAGTTTCTGTTGTGGTTATTTTTACTTTTTTTCCTCACTCTTTAAACAATTACATTCCTGGCAGGCTTTTAATGTTTCGTACTTAATAGATTTCTGTAATCTTTCTGGATTAAAAAGACAACACAGGAAAATGGCAGCCTACAACACTGCAAAAACCATCAAGCAGATATTGGTACAAGAAGACTCCATGACTTCTGGGAACTTTTTTATCAATGACAATAGTGTGGAGAAAAAAAAAAAAAATCAGAATCTGGGCCACAAATTTTGTGTGTTAGACTTAAAAAGCAGACCCATATACACAGGATTTGAAAAATGATCTACTTCAGTAAAGCAATGAAAGCTCAGAATTCCTTCAGATTGGTGGCTTTATTTTTTTTTTTTTTCTGACCTGCACTGTATCTAATCATGTCTATCTCATGTTACCTTTGCTCACAAAAGTCACTCAAAGCTGTTTTGCCTTGGCCTGGTAACGTGCTTACCTTTCTGAAATGTTACGCCATTCACTCACTGGCTTATTTGTACATGTCTAGTACTACGGCCCTGGGTGATTATACATCTTAATGTTTTTTCACTCATCGCTGTGTTAGAAATTGATCACTGTCCACTTTAATTCTCTCTAGTTACAATTTCTTTCTTTTTTTTTTTTCAGACTGGCATTCTAAGGAAGTAAAGTTTGCTTGATCATTCTGTCAAACATCTTTTAATAAATTTGCAATCCACAAAATCTGAAATGCAGATTGGAATCTCATAGATAAGTTATCATGAGAATTTTGAGAACAGTCAGTAATTAATTGGGGGAAATTCTGGAATTATTACCTTCCCCAAAGGTGATGCAGACAGTCCCACATAGCAGCAGGGAGAGAGTTAGTCAGGGGGCACAGATGCAGCACAGCTTACCCACTGCAGATATAGCAGCTTGCTCAGGGGAGGCTGGTACTGGGAATAGAAGAGAAACTGTGTAAAAGAATTAGGGCACAAATCCATAGGAAACCAGGTTTCGTTTGTTCTTTTCTTTAGAAACTGTTTGATTTAAAGTTTTAAATATTTATAAACATATGTTATCCAGAAGCATACCATTCTATTTACTCAAAAGCCTTTTCTCATTGTTTTTATGAGCAAAATTTTCTTCGCAATGAAAGCAGTTGCACTCCTGTACAATTTCTGTAAATAACTTCCTAGTCATTAAAAATGTTGGCGGTTTTTTTTGTTTCTTTGTTTCTTTGTTTGTTTGTTTGGTGAATATTTCAAGTGTTTCTTGTCCATACTGTTGGCCTATTTTATAAAAACAACAATAACAAAAACCCTCAAGTATTTTAGGGTTTCCACATCAACACTGGTTTGTAAGTGAAAACATTATTTTTCAAATGGAATCACAGAATCATAGAATTATAAAACTGCTCAGGTTGGAAAAGACCTTGAACATCATCAAGTCCAACCATAACCTAACCATATTACCCTAACTCTAAAAACCCTCTGCTAAACCACGTCCCTGGGTACCACATCCAAATGGTTTTTAAATACATCCAGGGATGGTGTCTCAACCATCTCCCTGGGAAACTTTTTCCAGTGCTTAACAACCCTTTCTCTAATGAAGCTTTTCCTGATATCCAACCTAAACTTACCCTAGCACAACTTGAGACCATTGCCCCTCATCCTGTCAAATGTCACCAGTAAGAAGAGACCAATCCTACTCACTGCAATCACCTTTTAGATATTGAAAGAGAGCAATTGGTCTCCCCTCAGCTTCCTTTTCCCCAGATTAAACAGCTACAGTTCCTTCAGTTCATGTTGAAAATGTTTTATTTTCTACACTCCAGGCTGCAAGTCCCTATCTCCAAAGATCTGAATGAAGTTGAGCTCCACAACAAAGTACAACGAGAAAGATATCAGGCCTTCCTCTTTCTTGAGACATCTCTAGAGTACACTTCATAAGCACCTAGTAGCAGTTGATTGATCTTGGGTGAAGCTACTGATTTGCAGTCAGTCACTTTTACGTGTCTTTTCTCTCTTGCTGACTTACTCCCTGTTGATCTTGTTCTTGACACTATATAACTTTCTAAGTGAATCATCAAAATTCATGTATCTCAGTGAATTTAAGTCACTGTAACTATGGGATATAAAACTCTCCAGTAACAAGAATAAACTGTTACCAAAAATTTCAATTTTATTAAACCAAATCAGAACTGAAATAAATTTTCATTTGACAGTGTTGAAAATCTTCACTGTAGTTCGAGTGCAGTTATTAACTATGCAGTTTCTGGTACATAAAATAGTGTCATATTATTAGAATAAATCAATTTTACCTTCCTTTCTCTACAGAATGCCACATATAAACAAAATACATTTGTAGATATTTAATTAATTTTTTCTGCTGTTCTCTACTATCAAAAAGGCAGTATGAGTTCAAAAGAAATAGCATAAATTTATTTCTGTCTCTTATTCAGTGCTAATGACCTTCAAATTTCAAAATACAGCAATAGGAATGAGCATTATTCTCATGATTGTCTGTATGTGATTTCTGATGTAACTATCCAGACGTTAGCAGAAATATATTGTTTTCGTTATGAGTTACAACTGCACTCAAAAAGATCTCTCATAGAGATGTTAGTATAAAGTTTTTAAAGATTACAGGTATTTGGAGTCACACAGAAGTGTTTTGGGGATAATTGCAGAGAGAAGATATGAAGAAGCATGACATTAATTATACAGATTAATATGCTACGTGTTTTCTTTAAGGGAAAGGATTGGGAAGCTGATGTCAGTATAATAATTTTCTTATTAGCTCAATGTAACTGTGGCCCATGGGCACTGATAAATTTAGAGACCCTGGACTTCTTAATAAAACACTAGTGAAAAGTCTTCTCCTACACCACCATAGCTAATAGTTGATTGGTTTTGGAATCAAGCTAGTAATGGAAAAATGCTGTTCTTCATGTCTACAAGTCTTCCTACATGACCTGCATCAAGATTAACCTGACCAGCAGACACCTCAGCAGCAGAATACCTAATAAGCTCTCTTTGAAAGAACATGTACAATCTAGCAGCCCCAAAAGTATGAATGACCGTCATAAATTTCACTACCCTGGGTCTATGAGGATAAGATAGTCTTACTCCTTGAATGACTCACTAGACCAAAGGAAAGTAGTCTGCACTATTACTTGAATGTAGCATTTCAAATGCTGTTTATTATCAAGGGCATTTATTTGTTTATTTGTGTAAAGGAGTGCTTTTGATCAATGAATAAATTCAGCAAACATTTCCAGGAAAAAATGTCAAATCAACCTTTAAATTGTTTCATTTAGGAATTCATTTATATTCTGAGAAATGCTTTGTATTTTTTTTTTTTTAGTTGAGACTTTTCATAGTATCTTTCAGCAGTTTTGTCATTAATATGCTCACTAATACATTAATGGAAGTCTATTGTTCAAAGTGTTTCATTTTTTCATATTAATTCCATACTGTATTATTTGTATTCACTTTGGTGAACACTCCTTTTGATCTGCATCTTATCACATTAATGATTTAGCTACAGAAAGCATTGTATTTTGAGACTTCAATAGTCTGTTAGAAAATTTAAATGCTAATAACTCAAAGTCGATCAAACCACATGAAGAAAAGAAGGTAAATAAATGAGCAGTAATAATAAGGAGTTAGCAAGCTACTAGAAAAATAAAAAACTCATTAATGACCACTGTATCAAATACTTTTAAAGATGAATAATGACATGAGAATTTAGAATTAAATTGTTAATTAACTATTATTGCATAATTTGTAATTAAGCATATTTCCAACAATAATTAAGTAGATAGGGATATTGACACTGTTTTTATGCCCTATTGTTATGTATTTTCATCTACACCTTTTTCTCCATCTCTGTCCCTTTTATTCAGTGTATCTCTATTAGTTTTGCTCTCTGAGGATGTGTTGTCCACACTCTTTAGGCAGCTCCTGAAAACACGTTCAAACATTTTCTCATTTCAAACAATTCAGTTCTATAGGTGCCTCTGGTAAATATGCAGAATTCAGAAAGCTGTGGGGAATTTGAAGCAAGGCAAAATGGGCTTTCTTTCATCCGAACTGAACGCAGTACTGTGTTGATGGTCACTCTTTTTAGAAATGGTATTATATTTGTCACTTTACAAT